ACCTTTGTTATAATATATTAAACTAAACTAGTTTACAGTTAATTACAATTACAAACAAATTATTAATCATTTTTGAATATATAATTCACGAGAGTTTCCTGAAGTATCTCGATCTATATATAGTAATAAAACAATGCTTTCGTAGTGATAGATCGAGTAATAGTATCATTTTGAAGAAACTCGCCTATACAATCAATTAAAAGCACTAATGGAGTGTTAAATAAGTTATTACTTTGATTTAATATAAAAGTTCGGTAAAGAGCTTAATTGCGAAGCTTTCATACAACACATTATTTGGTCAGGACTAACTAGTGAATATCGGCTAGTTATCCTATTTGATATCATGCATGCCCTTAGTTTCCAGACTTCGAAGACATACCATACCGTAAAAGAATAGATATATAACGGACACAATAACATACAAAGGATTGAAAATGGTTGTCCAGCTAATGATTAAAGAGGCAATTCAAGTAATAGTACTTGTTGAAGCAACTTGAAGCTAGACATGCTAACCTTGAAGCAAAGGGTAGTCCAAAACTACTCCAAAACACAATTAGTAACTCAAAAGTAATGCCAACGATATAGAAAATCTAAAAGCAATAATATATATATATATTGATCAATAAAAAAGCAATACATACATTAATAGTAAATTATTAACATGATATAAATGAGAACAGCTGTATAAAACTGGTGATCAGGTTCCAATAAATAAGCCCAACTATTTGGTAAGGTGTTAATTGGGTGAATGCATGTAAATAAAACAAACATGCACCAATTAACTTGGTTTTGCTTTGAATGAATGAACGTTTATGTATTGCTTTTTTGCATGCATGAGTCTTATTTCGTTCCTTCCCCACGTTATTTTACACTTTCCTAAGTTACAACAAACTTACAATAGTCCAAGTCGTTATTACGTGGCTTTGAATGAATGAACGTTTACTTTAATTTCTTGTTTTTTTCCCTCTATTTTCATAGTACGGTTGTACTATAGTGGTACTATAAGGTACACTAGTCGTTATTACTCCGTAATTGTTAAAAGTTTTAATTTGAATCTTTAGATTTTTTAGTTAAAAATATATACCTGTATAAATGCATGTAATTATACCCAAAGAACAAAGTACTGCCTCCGTCCCTTAATGATAGTTTTTTATGGGCAATTTTCACGAAAATTAATAAATATAAATAAGTAGTAAAAGTACATTGGAAAGGTAAATTTACATTGGGTATGCAAAAAAGTAGAGAGATAAAGTAATAAAACTGTATGGAAAAGCAAAATTTACATGGAAAAGTTAAATTTGCACAAATATTATTGCAAATTGAAGGGAATTTTGGTAAAAAATTAATATTAATGGTACTTGAAAAAAGCAAATGTGACTATTATTTTGGGACTTAAAATTGGCCATAAGGGTCTATCAATAAGTATATATAAAGTACTTAGACTATGCAAGGTATGAATACTTATACTTTTTTTTTTTTAATTTTTTTTAATTTTTTTTTTTTTTTTTTATATAGTTAGATTATAGGCTACTTATACATTTTTTTTTTATTGTTTTTATTACACTATAGGCTTGTTGCAAGCATTGAACAAATCATACTTCTTCAAAATTTAACTTTGAAAAGTTTAATGCTATAAGTTAGGAAGCCATTGTGATTTCTCTGATTAAAAACCTCTGAAATAAAAAATCTTTTACTTAAAAACGCGAAATAACATTAATGTATGTAAGTATATGTATATTGTATAAACAAAAATGGTATAAAAGTATTTCATTCTCTTAACAGCTTAGCTTTGCTTGAACTAATTACACCTTAAACTTAGAGCAATACTTTATATTTAGACTGTTAACTAGCTAGTCATTATATTTTAACTACTCGCTGGTTCTTTATTTGTTTCTTACAATATAATTATATGTGATACTAATCAATGTAGAAAATTTCTCTCTTTTTGTGTAGAGAAAAAAGGCCCAAGATCACCAAGAAAATTCTCTTTCAAATATTCCTTTGTTCCCTTTTTGGGTAAGTAGTATGGAGCTGAGTATGGACTATAGTATATATATGGCGAATGGATGATTAATTCTATTAATAGAATAATTATTCAATCATCATTAAGAAAAAATATGAACAATGGCCTAATTATTTTGATTTTGTAAAATACAGGGCAACCTTAAATCAGATATTTTATTTCGTGGGACTGAAAGCAACCACTGCAACTATTGCTTGTGCATTGAATAACATGCTCCCAGCAATGACCTTCCTCCTTGCCATTCCTTTGGGGTATGCCATTTCTCTCGATCAGTCTCATACGTCGTTGTCACACCTATTTTATAATATGATATATCTCTAATGACTTCGGATCTAAAATTGAGATCAATAACAAGACAATTATTTGGAGACAAAAGGAGTATTCTATTTTATCCGATTATGTCCTAACACAAAATATTGGTGAATTATAGGTTAGAAGCAGTTGGAATCAAGACGATGGGAGGACAAGCCAAAATAATAGGAACAATAGTGTGCATTGGTGGAGCTATGCTACTTTCATTCTACCATGGTCATCTCATCGACATCCATCAACCCGATTTTCACTGGCATTTTGCTGGTAATGGTTCCGCGAACACGAACAAAAATGGTCCAAGTAGTCACCTAAGCGCGTTGCTAGGACCTATTCTTCTCATTGCCAGCAACCTTGCTATGGCTATTTGGTTCGTCATCCAAGTAAGTCCGTACAAACTTTACATATCATGTTACATACTCTCTTTAACGTATTATGAGTCCTTAATTAGTTATTAATGTAAACTTGTACAATTCTTGTAGGCAAAAATGAGTGAGGATTTTTCGGCTCCTTACACAAGCTCGGCCTTAATGGGTTTGATGGGTAGTATCCAATGCATCATTGTAGCGGCTTGCACGAACCATCAACTTTCTGATTGGTCTTTGAGCTCTCCTATTAGATTGGTTGCTGGTCTTTACGCGGTAAGAATATATTTTTCATCCAATACTCAGATAATTCAATACTCCATATTATTTTAAAATATTTCGGATTATTAATGGTCAATATTATGCCTTGATTTTATAGGGTGTTGTTGGCTCTGGAGTTGCGGTTTGCCTAATGGCATGGACGATACAAGTAAAAGGCCCTTTGTATGTTTCTGTGTTCAGTCCCTTGTTGTTGGTGATTGTGGCTTTGCTTAGTTGGGCCTTGAATATGGAGAAACTCTATATTGGAACGTAAGTACCAATCTACACAATATAGGCATATATCATATTTAGTATGGGCTTTCAAACAATGATTTTGTTAGACTTAGAGAGTATTTTTGTCCCGCAGTAAAATTGTTCAGAGTCCGGCTTACTTAAGACTTGTTGGTACCGTATTTAGTATGTGCATTATTAAGTGATCATCATGTTAACAATTTTTCGTGCTGTGGTTTGATTTACAGGGCTATAGGATCGGGGTTGATAGTATTGGGCTTATACGCCGTATTATGGGGAAAGAACAAGGAAATTCTCAATGCTAGTAACGAAACGGACATTGCTAGTATCATATATGAAGACGACAAAGATGATCAAGCAGAGAAGGAAGATGTGGAAAAGCAGCAACAATTGGTGATAATAAAGGGCAAATTTGGTGATCATTTGGAGTTGATAATATGATGAAGATTTGTTAGAGATGATTGTCATTGAATATGATGTTATGTTACATGCAAGCTAGTTTTTTTGCTCAAAAAAGGGTCTTGAAGGGCATGTCAAATTTAAGGTCTCCATCTCAATTAAAAAAAATGTCCCTTCAAATTTTCGTAAATTTAAAATTGTCAAGTTAGCTATATCTTCCTATATGTAGGTTGTGGTTGGTTTGTTCTTCCAAATGGATTTATATGTTGAATAGGTCATTGCTTGGGGTGAAAGAAACATTTGGATTATGATGTATGGAGTATATTGCTCAATTTTGATATTGAAACACAACTTTTCAATTTTTCCTAAATGAATGGCCCAAGTTTCTTAAAATATTATCCAAGGTTTTTTTTTTTTTTTTTTTTTCTTTCTTTTTAAAGGCACACATGAACGTATTTCAACTAAACAAAAGCGTCAACTAAACAAAGTACTCCGTAATTAACTAGAAGATTGCTTTCATTAGAAACAAACACTTCAAAACTATTTTTGAGCATACAAAGTGAATTTAGGAAATACCGAGATCGATCATTTGGCACTTGTCTAAAAACAAAGTATTTCTATATACAATAAATTATTTGTGTAAGGCTTACAAATGAGTATCTAAACAATTACTCTAATTATTCCTGTGAAAATACTTATACGAGTCAAAATCTTGACCCAAATACACTAACATCGTAATGGGTTCGAATCGAATTATCGAACCTAATTAATTAAGAATCTTATTAATTAATTAAGTATATGGTAAGCCTTTAAAAAAGAATAAGAAACAAACACAAAAAACTTTCCACCCTAATAATGGTTAAGTTGAGGTAATGTGAGGAAGCAGGCCGACAGAATCAGCATGTATGGCCCATAATTCATTAGCCCAACCCCATAGCACGCTACTATTAGCGTACGATCTACGGCCTTAAAGCATAAATAAAAACCCATCACGTGACTGATCCATTCCAACCATGTGTAATCATTGGTGCACCGCGCCACACAGAATAAATATGATTTTTCTTTTTAATTGTAATGTTTGCAATTTCACAAATTTTTATATGTGGCGGGTCATACTCAGTTACTTCGTTAATGTTGTAGGGGATACTCGATCAGCATTATAGGAATTATTTTGATTGTGATATCGATTATTCAGTTAATGTTACAAAATTTACTTATATAATAAGTGGTCACATGAAGTGACCAGCCGGACATAAAATACGTTCACTTTGCAAATAATTAAACGGAGTGATCATCTAACGGCAAATTCTTACACCGTTATAACGTCTGTCTTTGGGCCCACAGCCCATTCAAGGCCCATCTATAAATACCCAAACACTGATCCAGAAATAATTGACGGACCGTTGATTTAAAAAAAAATTGATAAACGGGCAGCTTAATCAAGATCTGCCCGCTGTCCCTTGTTCAAGCCCTAGCTCAATTTTCTCTCTCTACTTTGTAAGTTCTTTCTCTCTCTACAATTCTTCTCTTACTCTCTCCTCAATTTCTTCGCTCATTTCTATAATCATCATCAGATCCAACGGTAAAGTTTTGATAAATCTAGTAATTTACCGATTTGAATCAGGTTAGCAAAAATCGATCTATCGATTTAGGGTTTTCTGATTTGAATTGCTGTGATTTGTGTTCAAATGTTAATTAATTTCGAAATTCAATTTGATTTACATGTTATTGTTGATTAATTATTAATTTATGTTTTTTTTTTTGTTGATTGTGATGTAGATTTGAAGGAAAAATGGGGCTTTCATTCACAAAGCTGTTCAGTAGGTTATTTGCGAAGAAAGAGATGAGAATATTGATGGTGGGTCTCGATGCGGCTGGTAAGACCACCATTTTGTATAAGCTCAAGCTGGGTGAGATTGTTACCACCATTCCTACCATTGGTAAGAATTTTCAAGAATATTCTGATTTCTGTACTTCAATTTTATTTTTATTTTTTTATTATTTGTTTATGTTATGCCAAGTATTTTGATGATATTTTAATGGCATTCGATGATAATAAGCAGATGTTGGGGTGGATCATGGTTTGAAGGTTATGTATGATTTTATGTTTGTTTGATCCAAAATAATAGTCATTTAAGCCATTGTCACGTTAATAATTGATTGGTGATTTGTTTTGTAAGTAAATATTGGTAGTTTTTTGGTTTACAATATATCTGATAAGGATATGATTGAGTGGCAATTACTGTTGCATTAATTTATTGATTTCAATTTGTAAAAACTGTTTTGGGATCTGAGGGAGTGTGTTCATTATGTTTGAAGACTCATTTGTATTAATTTATGGAAAGAATTGATAAAATATCTCGATATGAGGATTTTTGAATATTGGGCCATGGGTGTTAAAAAGAGAACCTTGATGAGTGATGACAGAGAAAATGAATTGACCCCGATATTCCGAAGATTATTGATGGGTTTCTTGTCATAGATTGTGTTTTGTTCGGTTGGTTAGCCATTGTTGTTGCTGTGTAATTTCAGTTTTGTTCTGTGTTTTCTGTAAATGCTTCTTAAATGATCATTCTAAGTTATAGATGATCTGCAGATTGCTGCTAGTTATTAATTTTCTATTTCCTACCACCTGTATACTTTCTTAAGTTGTACTCAATTTCTGCATTACGCAGCTAGCAAGGATTAACAATTGTGTTCTTTTGCTTTTTGATTAGGATTCAATGTCGAGACCGTGGAATACAAAAACATTAGCTTTACAGTGTGGGATGTTGGAGGTCAGGACAAGGTATTGTAGTCATCCATCTTTTATTTGTGTCTTTTGAGATATGCATGCTTTTCAGTTTGAAGTAGACTCTTACACAGTGCTTTCAACAAAACTATAAGCTATACTGATTGTGCCACCTTTTCTTTTGTCTTTTCCTTCGTAAGAGGGAAGAGTGTCCATGCCTGTGGCTTATATCATTACCCAGTCCTTGTTCAAAAGCAAGAAAAATAAATTAAAGATAACAAACTGTAGTTGCCGATCTGACCACTTATGTTCCATTAAGGCGTAATCATAATTGATTTGCACGCTTATTGACTGTATTGTGCTGATTGCTTTGTCTTCCTTCAGCACCTAACATAACCATAAGCAACATCAACTGATGCCGCCTCGTCTTTCAGTTTTTCCTTATTGCTATAAGGGAAGGCTATCCATGCTGTGGCTGACACCATTCACTAATCTCTGTAAAACCCCATTCACCTTTTTATATTGTAAAATGCTGAAAGGGATTTTCGTAGAATGCATTTGCTCATTTGATGGTCTTGTTCTGACTTTTGCTTGTCTGTACTTGACATAATAATGAGCTATCTATGGTTTCACATACATGTTTTGAGTTTTCTTCTGGTTATACGATGGAAAGATGCCATGAAGGCCTCAATAATCTGTTTTATTTTCTATATGATTATTGTAATGCAAGAATGCTTATTTATGGTCCAGTGCTGATTGTATGTCCTTGAATTGGCACTCTACGTCTTCATAAGCTAGATAAAAATGGGTTGCACTTACATGTTTTGAGTTTTCTTTCTGATTATAATGGAAGGATGCCATGAAGGCCCCATAATCTGTTGTATTTTTTTTTAAATTATTGCAATGCAAGAATGCTTATTTATGGTCCAGTGCTGATTGTATGTCCTTCAATTGGCGCTCTACGTCTTCATAAGCTAGATAAACACGGGCTTCGTTTTGAGTTCCCTTGCTTTTCCCTATGTTTGTGGACCTCATGATTCTGCTCACATTACACATTGTTTTATATGTTTATACTTAAATTCAACTTCATTGTGTTACTTAAAACAAGTAGTCAACTGGGTCAAATTGGGTTAAATTGTTGTATAATTTGTAATTCTTTGTAAAATCCAGATTCGACCTTTGTGGAGACATTATTTCCAAAACACCCAAGGACTCATCTTTGTGGTGGATAGCAATGATCGTGATCGTGTGGTTGAGGCAAGGGATGAGCTGCATAGGATGTTGAATGAGGTGAGCATTCATAGTGGAATTTGAATTGAGATGGATGTATTTTTCATGATGATGATATCAATTTTGTTCCTGTGCAGGATGAGTTGAGGGATGCCGTCCTTTTGGTCTTTGCCAACAAGCAAGATCTTCCAAATGCAATGACTGCTGCGGAGATTACTGATAAGCTTGGTCTCCATTCCCTTCGTCAGCGTCACTGGTTAGTGTATTCTTATTGTTTTGCTGTACAATAACCTACTGTGATTAAACGTGAAGAGTTTCTAAATTCTTAATTTGTCTGTACAGGTATATCCAGAGCACATGCGCCACTTCTGGTGAAGGTCTTTACGAGGGATTGGACTGGCTGTCCAACAACATTGCCAGCAAGGTGGTTTTTTATATTTCAAGAGATACCTTCTTCAAATACTATCGTTGCATTTTTCTTAACTGAATTTTTCTTATTGTTCTTGTCACAGGCTTAGATGAAGGATCTGCCTGGCTGAGCTTAGGATGATTATATGGTGGATTTTGAAGCACCTGTTTATGTGGGAGATAATATTGAGCTTTTGGCCTTTGCTTTTTGTTTGCTATGTTAAAAAGATCACAACAGTGGTTGTGTTAATGTGATTATGCTTATGAAGGTTTTGTTATGATCATAGAAATTGCTATATGATATCAATACTTTTGTAGATTCAGAATAACTAAAATGTATCTCAGGAAAGAGTTTGTTTCATGTTGATATATACTGTGACCATGATATTCTTTGGAACAATCATTCCCTGTTCCATCTTCCAATCGTGCTTATGTAGGGACGTGATGCTCATTTCAACCAGCTTTTTAAGATTACACCCTTAATTAATCAGATCTATCTTCCAATTGTGCTTATAAAGGGACTGCTCTCATTTCAACCATTATTTGTTAGTATCTCACCTTATTAACAAGCATACCAACTAGTAATCAGTTGGCTTTGTGTTGGAGGTGCTTGGCCGGTTGCTTTCTTGTAGCAGCTAAATCTAAGGTCATTTCATGTCAAAAATTTTAATTACTGCCGACTGTTTTGACTGTCGTTCTGAAGTGAGATCAAAAATTGTAGACATGAAGTAGTAATGGCCTTGTGGCAATGAAGTACAACAAATTAGTTTGTTAGCAGCAAAACTTGCCCTTAATCAGTAGCAATGGAAGATCCTAAGGTTATAAAAAATTGCCTTGATTTCTTACTCCATATATTAATAACAGGTTACTAGACTAGATATATGATTTGATTTTTTGCCTGAATGTGATGTATTAGAACTAAAGTGAGAATTTTCTCCTTGATGTAATACTTGTATATGCTCTACTTTTATGTGTGGATTACACTTATTTATATTGACGGATAAGTTTGCCCTTTTAATAGAAATCAACCCAAGGAAAGAGAAGTTCTGGAAACAAATTTAGAAAGCAAAGAAATTAATAGAGGCCGTATATATTATAAACAACAGTATTCCACTATAGGAGCTTGGCTATGGTTTGGAAAGTGTAAAATGTTAACATTCTCACACAAACAGCAAATTGGAAGTAAAGTGGGACTCTTTCATTATAACGCTTTCCAATACAAAAATAAGATTTGCCCCCAAAATGTGCAAGTTTATGCGTACAAGTTGATACAACAGTAATAGTATAAAAACTCCTGAATGCTAAACGTATTCAGTCAAAACTCGAATGCTAGCTATAGCCTGTAAATTGTTTGATGAATAATTATAGTACAACTTCAAACCTGATAAGTTTAATAGCTTGAATATTAAAAACTATTGTCTTAGGACTCTGTTCGAGCTGAAGGTGAAGTTGTCTTCACCAGCAAGGGTGGAATGCAGCCGTCCTGCAGCCCATCCATTGTTCGTTACACGAGCAGCAGCATGGGCAGGATCACCAACAACACGAGTGCCTTCAACACGCTTCTCAAATTCTGGAAGGCCATTTGCTTTTCTTTCTTTCCTTCTTTTTCTTTCCTCATCTCGTTCTTTCCTCAGCCAACTCTCCACTGTCCTCTGCAAGCAGACCAGAATATGGAGTGTCACTTCATACAGCTTACAAGGAGCTGACCAGAATGTTACAAGGAGCTTACAAGCCTAGTAGGCTAGTATTTTACTCAAACTTTAGGGTGGAGGGGGTGGGGATGGGAGACTTACCATTAATGACAAATTTGACATCTCCTTAACTTTTTCCATGGGCAATGATAACTGTAACTTTCCGCGAGCCACATACACCTGAAAATAAGTTTAGTCCAGTCACTACCTCATTGGATTACAGAAATCAATTAAAACATGGATTAATCACAAAATATATCAGATATTAACTTAACCCACAATATGTGTTGGCCAGTTCTCGAGCCCATCAAATATATGTGTCGCATAGATGATTATAGCACCCCTCTCTTCACATTCCTTGATGAGAAACCTAAGAAGGTCAGCTCTTCCTAGCACATCAAGGTCAACTGTGATCTCATCAAGAAGAAGAACCTGGATAAACAGGACAAGGTTTAGCTCAACAAAGCATAATATCCAGGTATCACCTTTTAAAAAAATCTGAACTCGAGCAACTGCAAGCCTGCGACATATACCTTAAATGGCTTGAGAAGACCCATACAGATTTGAACTCGTCTTCTCTGACCATCAGATACTTTGTGCATCCTCCAAGACAGATCAATGTCCAGCACCTAATGACAAGAAAACAGTAAAACATGTCACAGCCATTCCATTTATTATGTTTTTAATTTCTTATTTACAAAGGCAAAGGGAACAGATTAAATAGACATTATTAAAATACAGGAATACTGAACCAACCCTCTTCTAGCTTTAGTAAATTGAAGTCAAGGGAAGCAGTAAGCCAGGAAAAAGAAGGATCCAACCCAAAAACAATTTTTTCTGGCTAACTGATCACACGTCTAACTCCAAATGCTTGATCTAAAAATTCTGAATTGACTGGTTTGTAGAAGATGAGAAGCTTCAATTTAAATATAAAGTTGGATACCCATCAGCAAATATCCATCTTGATCAAGAGGCTTAGTCGCCAATTGTTTTAGGGAAAATATGAGAGGATGCTGGCCAATTTCTCTCTTGGGTCGCACTTCTCTTTATTCATTTATCTTGTCTACTCAGTAATCCACCAAAGGGACAAAAGAAAGGCGACCAAGTCCATTGGTTACCTATATGCTTGCTCTAAGAGAGGAGGTATTGGTCACTAGGAGAAAGACCTTTTCTAAAAGACCCACCCTCAGGTCAGTTTATTTCTTTTCACCAAATTCCAATTCTGATCCGGGCTTCTTGCTTTATCCTAATTGAACATTATATCCCATTCTCACCCTAAGAATAAATTAAGTTTACCATGATTGTTTGGGAAATCTATAGATCTAAACTGAAAGACCAGAAGATTAATAGCTGAACAGGAGGCAATCTGGTAAAGTGCAGCCAACACCAAGTAAGAGCTTCTGAAAAAGTAGACGTTTGGCATTGGAGGCATGCTGGCATTTTAAGGAATTATGTGGACAATCATAGGAATGCTTTATTTGATATGCGTTAGACATGAACCTGAAAAGGATGATCTTATGCTTGACCCAGCAAAATTAGTTTGGCTTTTGAGCACATTATGAGAGAGCAGAAGAATATGGAATACCTCCTCTGTCAAACCCAAAAGAAAATCTAATGTCTTTAGGACAAAGTGACATGGTTACTAGACCCCAGATCTGAACATTGGAAGATTTCTTCTTCCCTAATCATATCATTGGACATGTACTATTCACTCTTTAACATTACAATGAAGAAAATCACCCCAAATTTGGGAGTCATACAGTGATGAAATCAAGAGCATCAAAAGCCACACATACAAGAAGAATTCGCAATTCATACAACAAGCATTTGTTAAAAGACTCTTAAATTCGCAAAGCAACCAGAAGAATTGTAATGATAAAGGCGAGAAAAAAGAAGATCAAAAGCTACGGGAAATCAACAATTGGTGGAGCAAGCTAGTTTTACAGATGCATAGATAAATTAAGTTCCTCAAGAGTTAAATCATCCTCTCTTCCTTGAATCCCAAGAAAAGGAATGAAAAGAACTTCAGAACGATAATGAGGTTGCTAGATGTGGAGGGCAACAACTGCCAACAAGCAAGACGTTTGTTGCTTAGATCTATATCTAGCTCATTGTTTCAAGAATGTTTTGCAATGAAAAAGAGTTTTCAATCATCTATGCGAGTTGCAAGGTCGGTGATGATCTGTTGCTCTGGTTCTAGTATAAGGAGGTGCAGTGCAATTAACAACCGGGAAATTATGACCTTCAAACTAAACAGTTTAAGATGTAAATCTCATCATCCAACTAAGATCATTTTTTTATGACCTCCCTTTTTATGGAGATTTTATAGTTCTCACTGATGATTTTTCTGCGAGACATTGAAGATGCTAATACTAATTATTGTATGTGTTACCTCAACACTCTTCCCATTGGTACTAAGTATTAACTAACAAACATGCAGCATCACTAACATATCAAACATTTTCCAACATAATATGAAGTATATTTTTCTCAACATACCTTTATTAGTTCAGCCCTTCTTGCAGGATCTACACCCCCAACTCCAAATATCATTTTCTCAGCAGAAACATCTATCTGTATAGAAACCTCGAATCCAGCAAAAGCAACGTCACGCTTCCACTGCACAGAAAATAATAACCCTGTAAATTAACAGCATATAGCTATTTCAAGTATGTCAAAATGCATTCAAAAGGGTTATAGGCATAAGGCATCTAAGTTGCCATCATAACTGATAACTGAAGTGAATTTGGAGCGACTTAAGTGCCTGAACTAGCGCGGTTTACCATACAATTTAGCTATAAACATTAAAGGCAGCTACATATACAATGCCCAAAGACAACAAATTTCATGATCATTAATCACAAACAATAACAAATTTCTTTCCTGATCCAATCATACTACAATCTATCAATATACACGACTACTCAAAATGCTAATGCTATAAGAATTATGATGTAAGATTAATGCTAATTCATATTAGTCCATACAAAATCAAATTGATAACTTTTTATAACCAAATTCACAATAATTCCCCTAGATAGAACTATAGGATCACAACTCACAAGTTACAACAATCACGAGCATACAATATTGAAAATGCATTAATTGATTTCGCATTCAAAATCAACAATTAAAAAACAGAATCAAACAGCAAAAAAAACAAACACCCAACAAAAATTAAGCAGTAAAAAATCAGCCCAATAACCAATTACCCGGAAAATCGAATTAAAAGGCAGTAAAATCAAACCTCTCCACCAAGATAACACAAATCACCAGAAGAAGTCAAATTAGTATCGTGAAAAGCGGATCGCCCAAGAACCCGAACCATATGAGGCTCAACCATATGCTTCCCTCCTAATATCTTCAGAATTGTTGTCTTCCCTATTAAAAAAAATCAAAAATTTAAAAAACCCACAAAATATAAAAATGAAATGAAGGAAAAATCAATGGAGGAGAGAGAAAGAGATGAAACCCGCGCCATTAGCACCGACGAGAAGACAACGATCACCGGGAAAGAGGGAAAGAGAGAAATCCTGGATTAAAGGGGTGGAGCCAGGAGGAGGATGACCGTCGATTCCAGGGTAAGTGAATTCTAAGCCGTTGATTTCGACCATTGGAGATTGTGGGTCTGCCATTGTTGTCGGAAAACGGTGGAAATGAGTGTTGGTGAAGAGAGGAGAGGGAAGGTAGTTGGGTGGGTCGTCGAGTAAAGTATAATGTGAGCGCCAAAATATAAAGGGAAGGAAAAAGGGTGAAATGGAGAAGGAATTGTTGAAGTTTAAGGCGTGGCTCTGTTAAGGCCCCTCAATGGAAATTTGAGAGAGATGCTATTGTTAATTTATTATTGTGTTAGGTTTGGACATAGATTCAGAGATTGTTTATGTAATTACGAGTATTGTTTTGGTCGACCATATGTATTATGATCACGGAACACCATATCTTAAATGAGTAACTGCTTGCTTATTAGCCTTCTGATAAATATACGAGACACACGTATTGATATTGTAAGTTTGTAATTTATATTTTGTGTTTGGTATGTTGGAATAAGAGTTATAGTATTTGGATTTGCGAATTTGTTGTTGAAAATACCAAATGTCAAATCTTAATTGAATGGAGTTGAGTATAAAACAGAGGACTTAATTCTTGCAAAATGTGGGGAAATGGAACTTTATTTATTTTATAGAGGAAAAGGAGACTGGGGTTAAATTTCCGATGGGAGGGGGTATATTCAGGTGCCTTAACTCACCTTTAACCCAAGAAGAATTTAAGTCCCTTATAAAGAATTGAGTTCCCTCATTAGTGCTTTGATTAAACCAAATGAATTCAATCCCTTCATTAATCATTCCTGCTGATTTGTTTCAAAAATATAGCCGTTTGAAATTAAGAAAGTGCAACAGCAATACAAAAGCTTTGTTCTTGAAATTTTTAAAATGTTTGTTATCCAAAAAAATAATTCTTTCAATAATAATAATACTTAAAAAAAAAAAAAAAAAAAAAAAAAAAAAAAAAGAAAGCATGTTCTTCATCTTCATAGTTTGTAGCTTATTTGTCTTGCATTTGTAGCAGAAGCACACATCAGCAGTTTCAACGAAGGCTTGCAGAGCCCTAAAATAAAGAAAAAAAATTGATTATGGATATGTCCTGTGTATGGTGTCATTGCAACAAAAGGCCATTAAGGAGAGTTTCTAAGATAGACCGGCATCCTTTTATGAGATTTCTAATATGTCCAAACTATAAACAAGTAGATGAGTGTGACTATTTTAGGTGGGTTGACAGTCCATATGAGTCAGATTTAGCTTATGAGCTAGTCAAGTCTTTGAAGAAAAATGTAGAGTTGGCAAAGGATGTAATGAAGATGATGAAGAAAGTAGATTTAGCTTAAAGTATTGTAATTTTATGCCTTATTATTTCTAATTGTGTTTGAGTGATGTACCTGAGTAGAGGTTTCTACTGTAACCAGTGATGATGCTGATGATTGATTTCCTCTTGTGTTGGTTTGCTGAGAAATATTATGAATAAAAGGGCTTAGTTTAATATTATATAATTGCAGTACTCAATTTAATTTTTGAAATGTACATACCACTGCTTGTCTTTGATAGCCATCAGGGTAAGAGTAGACCCCGAATCCCCATCGGCTATGCATGGGTATCGATGTATGATTTTCATATCTATTAATAACCCAAACATTATCACCCCTAAACAAACAAAAGATAACCAAAGCGTACATAACAAGAATTATATTACAAAACAAAATCATAATTCATCCCCATTTAAGACATAATCAGAGTTTTAAATAGTAATAAGGCATGAATTTCACTAAGTACACAAACCTAACACTTATGCAAGCAAACTAACAACCTAAAAATATACCTCAATTATATATGTAAATCCAAACAAAAACAATTAATTAAAAGGAATTACGTACCTCTTGATGCTCTTTGCCGCAAAATTCGTTGCAATTTGAGGACGAAACGTGAGTGATGAAAGTGAATATGCTCTGCTATTGTTCCCAAAAAGAGCAAGGGACTTTATTTTTTGTAAATTAAAATATTTACAAAATAAACAAAAATATACTTTTTTTCTTTTTTTTCTTCTTTTACTTAGTTGACCAAAGGGACTCAATTGTTTAATCAAGAGGACTCAATTCTTTCCCTTATTTAATAAAAACCCACTATCAATCCAAGCTCATTCTAATCTAGTTCCTTTTCCCGTTGTAAAATGAATAGAGTCCCCTTTATTTCTCCACATTTTGCAAGAATTGAGTCCCTTATTTTATACTTAACTTAAATGATATGGAGTGGATAGAACTTGTAAGGTATAATAGTTACAAAGAGATTACAAAGATACACTTATTAACATTAAACCTTTCGGTTCATTAGTGGCAATGTTAACATATTTACACGAGATTAATGACATTTTGTTACTTGTACCTATTTTTTTCGTTCTTATCATCTCAATCCTACACACTCTATAACAAACATGAGATTTTGTTACAATTGGGATAAAAATTCTTATTTCACCTTCAATTCTCACATACCAAACATGTCAATAAGGAATCCAACATAACTTAAGATCGTATCATCGTTGAGGACACATAAATTTTAAACACTATTCACATTATTGTTATGTCAATAGTCTAAATTTTTAACCTCGTACCAAAATTTTCTGTTATTACCTATACATAATTAAAGAAATTTATACACATACGAGTAGTAACTAAAATTATGCAATAACAACGGTAATGAATTACGGAGTATGAATGAAACGGAAGAAGTATCATCACTCTCTTTCCAACACACCGTGCTGGGTTCTAACAGCAACTCAAAGCTTGACCTCCACATTAATTTCCTTGTAATTTCATCATTTCGCTCCTTATTTCAAACATCTCCAATTCACTACTGAAATTAAAGGAATCCATTAATATCTCTTAAAATCTCACATAACCCCAGAAAAATTGGGGTTGAATTGAGATCTCGGCAATTAGGGTTCTTCTCTGAATTTTCCGGATCAATTGGAATTCATAAATGGCGGCCATTTATAGTTTATACATAATCAACAAATCTGGAGGTCTCATTTACTACAAGGTATTCATAATTTCCATCTATCTTCGTAATTATACACGTTAGTAGTTTTTTTCTTAAAAAAACTGAAACTTTATTGAATTTTCTGTTGTGGGAATATTGTTTAGGATTATGGATCAGCTGGTAGAATGGATACAAATGATACATTGAGATTAGCGAGTTTATGGCATTCAATGCACGCAATTTCTCAGCAATTATCGCCTGTTTCGGGTTGTTTTGGGGTTGAACTTCTCGAAGCCGATACCTTTGATCTTCATTGCTTCCAATCTCTCACTGGTAAAATCTTTTCTCCTGTTCTTTTTGTATGGAATATTCAATTTCATGTTTTTGATGAAAATTGATGCTGTCAATTGTGTTGATCTTTTGTTTTAAGGGGTTTGTGAGTACAGATTGGAGATGTGAATATGGAGTGATTGTGATAGTGGCTCGTTATTGACAGTGTTGGTTATGAATGACATAAAAAAAGGACTAGAATTTAGTGTCAATTCGATCTTTTCGTGGGGTGGGTTGGAATTAGTTTTAGATTTTGTAGTGGAAATCTTGCAATGCACTTGCTTTAGAGTTGTATGGAAAACCTATCATTTGTCTTGCTATAAGATTGAACGTGAAAGTATTCGTTTGTGATTCATTAGGGGTAGAGTACAAAGCTTTTGTTTGTTTGATATGTTTATTTCTGTGGCTTAGATGTTAGGGAAGTTAAGAGGAGCATTGTTTTTTCTTTTAATTGCAGATGGATAGTTTCTGTTATCTCTGGGGTTTTGTAATCTATAGCAATGAGTGGCATCATCCAGGAAAATGAATAGGGCATAGTGATTTAAGGGTGTTTAGGTGGAGGGGGGAGTGTTGAGGAAAACATCACCAAATTGAACCTGATTGTATTTGCCTAAGATCATCATGACACCTACTCTGTACAACGATAAAGATTAACAGATTAACCTTAAACTTATTGCACCACCGTTTTTGTATTATCTCTGATTAAACTAGCATTAGAGGTCTAATCACAAAAGATCTAATGTTAGAGCCTTAGAGGTTGCTAGATAGGGCTTATGTTTTCCTGCACTCGTCATTTCCAGGAATTTAGATTGGATGGAGCTGTTCTTGAAAGCATGGAACGTCCCCTGGCTAATAATATAGTGGTTTTACTGTCAATTACGGTCCTAGAAGGCTAGAATCCTGTAATTACTGAGAGTGTCAACTAGTCAAGCAGGATTTCGCTTGTGTGTTTAGCTGGGAACTGGGATATAGAAACTACTGTAGTGTTTAGTTTACTGAAGCTTGGAGAAGTGCACAGATTCATGATAGGGGCATTGAAGCTTGTAGTGGTAGTTATTACATAGGAAAGTTTGCAACTTTGCATGGCTTTCAGAATAACATTTAAAAATATGTATCGAATTTCTTCATGCTATTTGAGTATTTGATTTCAGAATTGTTGTTTTTGGGATAGCTGCCTGCCTTCTATATACACTCTACTTAATTGCCAATTTAGAGAGTGGGGTTGGGGAGGTAATGGTGGACAGGTTAGGTCTGTGAGGGTGTGGTTGAGAGCATCGGTAGGTATTGTTTAAAGCAATGGAAATGTAATCTACGATCGATTGCTGATAATTCCAAAAATAGCTGGCATTAAATGTTAATTACCATCTTGTTTCTTAGTGTCGTATATGCCTTATATAAACGTGTTTCTTGGAGTGATCCAAGAATCTATTGAACATTCTTGTTGATGATGTCCAAACATGTCCTTTTGAATTTGTTACCATTGACAAGGGCATGATTTATTTACCTTTGACGTCCAAAACGTATTGTTTTCATGTTTCTTGCGGGAAAAAAGTTCTGTGTTTTATGTGAACCCAGAACACAACATATACTAATATACACTACTTTCGATCTCACCAATATTCAGTCTTATCATTTTTACCCTACTAAAACTTAACTGTGTTCATATAGTGAGAGGGTAAGTGTGTGCTTTGTAGTGTGAATGCGTGATTCATAGCATGAAATGTATGATGCATCAAGAATTGCATAGTAGGAACATGTGATGCTCATGTAGATTGGTTGGTAGATGTTTAGTTTCTGTTATCTGTAGGAATGAGCGGCATTATTCATGAATTTGAAAAGGGCATAATGATTTATGGGCCTTTGGGGGAGGGGGAGCTACGGAGTGTTGAGCGAGACATTGACCAAATTGAGCCTGGATGTATTCGCCTAAATTCACCATGAGGCCAACTAAGTACAATGATAAAGATTATTAGATTAACCTTAATCTTATGGCACTGCAGTTTTTGTATTATCTCTGATTAAACTAACACCAGGGGTCTAATCTCAAAAGATTTAATAGGTTGCTAGATAGGGCTTATACTTTTTCCTGCACTCACCATTTCCAGGACTTCAGATTGGATGGAGTTGTTCTTGAAAGCATGGAAGTGATGGAACTTGTAGTTATTGAGAGTAGCAACTACTTAAGCGGAATTTCACTCATGTGTTTGTGGGAAATTGGATTTGGCAAATATTGTAGTGTTTAGTTTCTGAAACTTGGAGAAGTGCACAGGTTCATGATAGATTGATAGGGTGTTGAATCTTATAGCTTGTGGTAAAGTTTGCAATGTTGCATGGCTTTCAGAAAAACATTTGAAAGTATATATTAGTATTTTTTTTCGTGACATTTAGCCAATCTCAAGAGAGCTGCCAGCCCTCTATTTTACTCTACTTAATTGCCAATTTAGTGAGTGAGGTTGGGGTGGTAATGGTGGACAAATTAGGTCTGTGAGGGTGTGGCTAGGGGCATCGGTAGGTACTGTTTGAAGCAATGTTACTGTAATCTACATATGATTTATGATATTTGACCTATTTTTAAAAATTGCAGGCATTAATATTAACTATTGTCCTGTTTCCGCGTGTCATATATGCCTTATATAAACATGTTGCTTGGCGTGATCCAAGAATTTATTGAAGTTCCTTGTTGATGACGTCTAATCTTGTCCTCGTAAATTTGCTATCTTTCAGTTGAGAAGGGAATGATCTATTACCATTAAAGAGGGCATGACAATAACCATTCACGTCCGTCGTTTTGATGTTTCTTGCAGGAACAAAGTTCTTTGTGGTATGTGAACCCGGAACACAACATATGGAGCTTCTCTTGAAGCACATTTATGAGCTATACACAGATTATGTGCTAAAGAATCCTTTTTATGAAATGGAGATGCCTATACGCTGTGAGCTCTTTGACATCAACCTCACTCAAGCAGTGCAGAAGGATCGTGTTGCCTTGCTAGGCCGATGATTGATCATAATCACTCAAGACAAAACTACCATTTTTGTAAATTGCTTCTTTTAAAACTTTTCTCTCATTATGTTTCATGAGATTGCAGTCTGCTGCGCGTTTTGAGTTTGTCTTGCTGATGAGTAGTTGTAAGAGGATGGCCTCTTTCTGGAATCAGGTTATCTGGTATGTTAACTGCAGATACATGGGGTATCAGAGTATAATTAATTTGTCTTTCCAGTACTTGGGTATATTGGAACTTTGAAATGATTGTGTTATCATTCTAAATGACCTATAAATGATTTGTATCTCGGTTAGTATAAGGGGTTTCTTTTTCTTTTTTTTTTTAAAAAAAATTATTTTTTCCCATCATAAAACGTTTTATTATAAAATTCAAACAAGAGAAATCTATGCACTAACCAACCTACAAATTATTTCTTCAATGCAACATTGCCATATATGTCTACTTATCATTTAATCTTTGCATGTAATTGATCAATTAATAGAGGACTTGAAGAATAATACTCCAACTTGTCAATAATTATGACCTTAATTATAAAAGTTAACAGTAATTGTGAAGAGTAATGACCATTTGTTTTAAACATTTCCTTTGTACTACTACTTCATATTACATCCTCTTTCTTTTTTCCAAGTTTTACCTTAATTACTTTTAAAATTGTTAATGCATAACTTTACCATTAACATCTTGAATTACATATTAGTAAAATCTTGAAAATTGATATTTAAAAAACATATTGAGACTGAATCAATAAAATATTACGTGTTAACATTTGTTTTTATATGAGGCAATGAATAGTGTGCAAAAGTAAAAATGGAAGAACCAAAAAAGAAGAGAAAGTACGCTTATTATTTTTCTTGATGCATGGTATTAAATAATTGAAACACGATACTTATAAGAAGAGCATCACATGACAGATGAATTAAATTGTGAACGAATCTATTGAAACACAATACTTATAAGAAGAGCATCACATGACCGATGAATTAAATTGTGAACGAATTTATTCTTGATGATAGATTTTCCGGCCTAAAATTTTTGAGATAGATAATAATCATGTAACAATGTAAGTAGCTGTTATAACAGCCATAGTAATTAGAATCCTCATCTCTCTATTCCTCTCATTAAGAATTTCAAGAGCAGGGGAAGGAACTGTAAAGATAGTAACACACTTAGCCTGAGTCCTAGGCGTATCCCATTCATAAGCAATCATCTGTTCATAATTACCCTTATTAAAATCATCAAAAGCTAGATCAAAACTTTGTTTAAGAGTCGAGTATGCATCTTCACACACCTTATAGTAGTCTAGCTCTTGATCCTTTGCCCCTGGGATTTGAGCCCTTATGTAGTCCAATGTGTTCGAGGCGTTCCTTCGAGCCTCCATGATTGTGATCTTCGTCAAGCCCACGTAGTCCATGTCCGGTTTTGGGATATCGGCATGGAAGACCTTGTTACAAAATCCATAGTCTTCATTAGACCTACAAATGGAGTCAATTCTGTTTTGGGTTTCAGGGCTTACTCTGGAATTCACAATGGAGTTAAATAGTATTAGTAATGTGGTTGCAAAGGGAGCAAAAAGACTGAAAACTTTCAGCATTTTCGATTTTGGTGTTTTGTATGCTCTGGTAAGTTTATTGTTTGAAAGTATACAAAGGCACTAAAAGGGAAAATGCTGCGTTTTATTGAAATGAGAACGAAGGGAGTATTTATATACGAGAGTTGTTGAGTATGAAAATATAAAGATACCAAGTTTTTGCCATTCAAGGTAATCTAAGATTTTACCCTTTGAATGTTTATGATCAAATATTTTACTATAAGGTATGTTATTTGTGACAATAATGTTGAGATGACCAGGTGCAATTTACATGATTCAATGATGCATGCAAATTGCAAAATATATGTCGAAATCTGGTAATTTTTTTTCCCATAAATTGATAATCTCATACTAAATTTGGTAGAGAAACGAAGGTTAATTATTGTTATCTTAAAGATACCAGGCTGTCTTAAAATTATCTAGCTAGTTCGGATTTTATTTGGTTTTGTATTTATTTTTTAAAATCAAATAAGATTAAGTATCAAAAAATGATAGCCGTGAGTACGTACATGATTTAGGATCGAATCATACTAGCATCGTTTCATTTGAGATCCTTGTAAATCAAAAATAATTTACGTATCTTGATCGATCTCCAATATCATTTTATACGTTACATGTACGGTTCAATCAATCGATGTTGATTCATACTATAAACTCTTAATGATATGCAATTATTTGACATTTTTTTTTTTCAAAAGAGAATACAATAATTAATCTATCCATTTGGATTTAGATTGTAATAAAAGAAAATAATAAAATTAAACTTTCCATAATTTAGATTATGATCGAGCAACATTACATCACTTGATAATAAAAATTTGCACCTAATAATTTATTTAATTAATATGGGGTATAAAATTACGAATTGTATGTACAAGTGTACTACATTATTGAATGTGGGAAAACATATAAGAATGTATAAAGTTTAATAAAAAAAATAAAAAAAATCCTAAACCAAAATTAGAATAAAAAATAAAGAATAGCCGAATCAAAATTTCCTGTTTCTATTAAAATAAAATAAAATAAAATAAAATAAAAATTAGTAAGGTGTAATAAAAATCTCGGTTTAACAAAAAAAACTCTATTTGCTAATCCTGTACTTTTATCCATCAATTAACGCTGGTAAGACTGAAGCATGCAGCAGCAGTTTTAAGTTCATGATTTTGAGAAAATGTTTCCATTGATTGTATGGTGTCCCTCATTGTTGACTCAGCACTGCACAACATAAAAATTTGATTATTATCGATAAATTATTTTATTTTATTATGAGAAAATCCACTTGTAATTTGTTGTTGTACCTAAGGTACAAGCGGGTACAACCGTACAACTGGCTATAAATAAATCAGATAATTATCATAATTGTGAAAAATATAATTTTAGAAAAATATATGCTTCTAGTATTATCTCTTCATTGTAAAAATATAATATTCATTAAAAAAAATTAATTTTAGGAAAAAATAAGATTAATTTAGTACAATTCAACAAAATATGTTTAATCAGTCAACTCATATAATTTTTAATGAGTAAAAATGATAAGGAGTACCCCTTCTGTTTTACAAGTGACACGCTACCTTTTGCACAAGATTTTAGGAGAATTATAAAATAATGTCAAGTGACACGCTTCCTTTTACTTATTTTTGCTGACTTTACATCTTATGTTGAACTTATATTACGTATTTGAAATGAACTGTTGTTACTAATATGTCTCCCTTCTTTATCTTTTGGTCTTCCTATTAGCAATCAGAGGAGAAACCAATGAAAATATTAAAGAAGGGCAAGTTTCCCATATCATAATAAAAATGAACTCGAAAAGAATTCAATACATTAATATACTTTGGGATAGTGGAATACATAAATAATATACTATGAGATAATTGAAAACATACATAAATAATTGTAAATTTAATACAAAATGAGGGAAATTAAAAATAAAAAAATAAAAAAAAAACTTTCTTGATTGTTATACTTGTACATGAAGAACAAAGTACTTACCCTTTAATAACACTTGCAATCAAGCTCTTTAACACGCACTTAATTAATACTTCGTATAGAGATTAAAGAAGTTTAATGGTTAAGTTAATTATAATTACTTTACATATTAGAAACCATCTTATATTGAGTGTCGAATAGCTCAATTGCAAGTATTGTAAAGCGAAGAAAAAAAATATATATAAATGTTTTAAATAAGGTTAAGAGAACATGACCTCAAATTCAAATAAACAATCGAATAACCATAAAAAAAATTGTAATCCATTGAAATGAGTTGGACAAAACACACACAATTACAAAAGATGAATACCTTGATTCACAAACACCCTTGGATTCAATGTAAGATTGTTGATCATCAGCAATAGTATCGAAAGGCAAATCATCATAATGATCTTGAGAAACCTCATCAAGTTCTTGTTGTAGAGGCAGTCTTTGTGAAATGATAAATTGTTTCATCTCATTACTTAAACTATTAACACAATAGTTATTATTGGCACCATATTGTTGTTGCAACAACAACGAAGGCTTCACGCCTACATTTGGTTCAGCAAACGCAAAATCCTGGTCACCTACAAAAAATTTGTTCGGGGCAAAGTACATATCAACGTTAGACTGATGATGCGGGTTATAACTAGTACTTGGGGCCGAATCTAGCTGAAGTTGAGAAGGTTGGATAGTGGATGGTTGGGTAGGGTCAACCGTAATATTGCCATGACTATGTTCTTTATTTTTCAATATAGCTAGCCACGATTGAACGTAATAAAGCTCCTCTTGAAGTTGACTCAATTGCTCATTAAGTTGCCAAATAGCATAACAACAACCAAAAACAGGATACTTTTGACGCATTTCAGACTCAAATATAATAGATTTCATAGCCTCATCCTTTCGGTCTTTGCTATCTAATTTCTTAAGTATTTTGGTGATGTTACACACACCGTACAATCGATGTGCACATTGGAACATCTTAGGCTTATCGGCGGGGAAATAAGGGGCTAAGGGACAATCTGGGGCACATTTTCGACGTTGGTACTTGCAAGCTGCACACGCTTGGCTTGTACCTCCCTTAATTGTCATCAAGAGACCAACAATAACCAAATATAGTAGTAGATGCTTAATTTGGAAAGGAGGCATAGATTAAAAATTGATAGTGTTACGTTGGAATTATCAAAAATTTAAAACAGAGATAATGACAATAATTAATCCAGGAGTTAATTAATATATAGAGAGGAACAATCAAGATATTGTTTCCAAAAAAAAAAAAAAAAAAAAAATCAAGATATTATTTTTTTATTTTATTTTTATTTGAAATAGAGGAATAATCAAGATGATAATAACAAAAATAAAACCTAGTAAAAATTCAAATTAAAAGCTCACATCCTAGTCTTAAGGAGTACGTGCATAAAATCCTCCAAGTTGGATACTTGCATAATTTACTGACGTCTAACAAACAATTTGGGTTATATTTAATAATGTCACGTAGTCACAATTTGTGGGGTTGTTCTATGCGAATATTCTTCTTAAATAAAAACTTGAAATAAGCTTAAGGGTAAGAAATTCTCTAGAAACATCCTTAAACAAATAAGCAAACTTATAGGAGGAAACTCATAAAAAGTAACCACGTCTTAATGTTTCTGTTACTATAAAGTTTTCTGTTACTATAAAATTTATAGAATAGTTAATCTTTAGTTTTTCTCCTTAGTTCATAATCTTTAGTTATAGACATTATTGTACATAGTATATGCATATTATATACTTTTTACAACATATTACAATATAATTATTATATTCATGATGCAAAAACAAACTACAAAGTAATGAATTGCATTCCGCTTGCAATATAATGTTAATATTGGTGGAAATATAGATTAAAACAAGGCGAAAGAAGAGACAGAAACACTTAATGTACATCGATATTATTGAATCAAACGCTTAATGGAGTGAGCCAACAACTTACAATTCCTAGGAGTGGATAGGTCCTGAGCTTCTAATTCTCTTGAGTTAGCGAATCTCGAACTCTAAGGACAGTCCACAAGACCACAACACATGATATAGCTAAAGATATGGTGTGACTGTGTAAGCCTTGCCATATTATATACTTCTTCCGTTCTTTTTTACTTTAATGATTAATAACTTTAATTCCCCACAAGTAAAACTTATACTAAATATATATTATGATAGTACTTATTGAGACGAATCTAATAAAACCCCACATGAATATGTTATTACATATATGAAGTATATAATTTGCAAAAGACATTTAAAGGAAATGTGATAAATAGTGTAAAAGTCAAAGCGGATCAAGTAAAAAAGAATAGAGGATGTAACATTTTAAAATATGCCCATGATGTGCCCAACCTGAAGTCTCATAAGTGCTTTAGAGCAACCGTCATTGAAAGTGGCTGCCAAACCTTCGTACTCTCACATAAGTGAATCAATAATAGTGAGTCATATAATGATATAAACAATGGTATGGATTAATGAGAATCAGGGTAAGCTTTAATCCCTTAATCTAAACTTTACAATAGTACTTAATGTTCGTCTTCCTACATGAGAATTACAATGTGCTTTCTTCATAATTCATACGTGTATTACGTCTTTTTTCCATTCTACAATTTGTGATCAAGGAACTTCTGTTATTTCTACTTTAATTTTGATCACTTCATGACGTGGTCGGAATTAATGGAGGAAAAGCAAGGGCGATTTCTAATACGAATAAATAGATTTACAAGCGATAAATTTGTATAAAAATAAAAAATAAAAAAAAATCCATCAGAAAAGAGTTACACTCTCAAAATTATTAGGAAAAATTCATGGGAATAATCTCACCTTTGGGCCATTCTTTATTAATAATCCCATCTTTGAGATATTATTTAATAATCCGACCTTTACCCCTCATTCTTTTTTATTGGTCCCATTTTACCTGAAATCGGTTAAGTATGTAAATTTTTTTTTTTTAAGGATTAATTGACACGTATCATTACATAATTGGTAAAAAAAAACAAAAAAATAAACCCCCCACCCAGAACCCAGCCACCCCTACCATTACCACCACCCAAACCCCCATCCGAAACCCAGCCCTATCCCCACCATAACCACCACCCTAAACCCCCCACCCCGAACCCAGCCACCACGAACCCCCAGCCCCCTTCTCCTTCATTCTCTCTCTTCTTATCTCTTTGCAAATTCCCAGCCACCACGAACCGCCATTTCCGATGAAACCATCAAGGACGAAGGTCGAAGGGGAAATCGAAAAGGGATGGGGTGGATTGCTCGGATTTCAGAGGGAAAAGGGGTGGGGTGGTCGGATTTCAAAGGGGAAGGGCTAGGGTTGTCTGATTTGGGAGGGAAAGGGGGTGGGTGGTCGGATTTCAGAGGGTAAGAAGGTGGGGTGGTCGGATTTAACAGGGAAAGGGGGTAGGGTGGTTTGATTTGGGAAAGGAAGGGGGCGGAGTGGTCGGATTTGGGGAGTTTTGTGGGTGGCTACGATGGTCGGGTTTAGGTGGTTTTGTTGGTGGCTGGGGTTGAATGGGGTGGTCGAGTTTAGGGGTTTTGGGTGGTTTCATGGGTTGCTGGGGTTGAATGGTGTGGTTGGATTTTTTTTTTAAAGGTTTTTTTAATTGATTATTTTAACTTTTTTTTTTGGACAGGCCGCCACGTGTCATGTAACCTGTAGTAAAAAAGAATGGGGGGTAAAGGTCGGATTATTAAATAATATCTGAAAGGTGGGATTATTAAAAAAGAATGGCCTAAAGGTGGGATTATTCCCATGAATTTTTCCAAATTATTATTATTATTATAATAATTGAAAAATTGTCTTCTAATGACGGCTAAAACATTTAAATAGTCCAAACAAAAGGCTAATACGAATATTAGGCAAAAATAAAATTCGAAAAATATTAAAACGTTGTTTCGGGCCCTAAACAAACTCAAATGGCTTAAAAAACATGTCAGTCATACTGTCATAGTGCTGTGTGTTGGACTCGTTGACCCGTTTCCTTTTCCGAAAATATATTTTATTAAGTATTTTGATTCCGGGGCCCGACTAATAGAAATCATGACCGGTAGAAATCAATTCAAACCTTCAGACGCTGAAATTCTTTGTCGAATTGTGCAACTAATCACCCTACGTCACTTCATTGTCAAGATTTATACTTTATTGTACTCCCTCCGTCCCATAATATGGTTCATGTTTGTGTTTTTTCACGGTATTTAAGAAATAGGAGGAAAAAGTGGATGAAATACATTAATAAAAGTAAAAAGTACAATTATAGACAAAAGTTAGAGAGAAAAAGTGAAAAAAGTACAAGACAGGTGCAAAATTTAAGGGTAATGTAGAAAGTACAATGAATAAAGTTAAAAAGTGAGGGTATAATGGGCTTTACATATTATCCAAAAATAGAAACAGGAACAACATTTTGGCTCTTCAAAATAGAAAAATAAGAATTATATTATGGGACAAATGGAGTATATTTTTCTTTTTATTTTATATAAAATATAAATTTTCTTTACAAAAAATAAATAAAGCTTATAAACATATAAAGTAGCTCGATCAAGTAATATATTTAGTCACGGCCACTTTTATATTCATTAAATTTTAATATATATAAATTGATCAATCTCAATTCAAAATTTAACAAGTTTCATGTATCAAATACTTCAATAACTTGAAAAAATAAATGTTAAATATAAACACCAAATTGTATTTCTGTTTCTAAGATTATGGATTGCTCACTTAAAATCATAAGAAAGGCAGACAAACAATACCTTACTCTGTAAGCATAATTACTCCATTAATTCATGATAATTGAACAAGGCATAAATAAAATTCTATGCCTGTCCAAATTTTGTAGTATTACACACTGAATCTATATTAATCAGGTCTATCTGGTATAATATTTCAGATAAGACCACTTGATTGTACAAGAAAAAACATAAAGCATAACACTCCAATAAAAATTATATGATACATTAGTTTCATATTAGTACATAAATGGAGTGAATAATCACTTTAAGCCGCCGATGGTGCCAACATATAATAAGCATTACTAAACTCAGATAATGCTGCCTTCAGCAATTGAAGCCTTGCTTCCTCTGGCTTGTAATCAAGCGATTCATCGTCGTAAATCTCCCACCACTTGCTAACGAGCATCTTAATGTCTTCTCTGTCCATGTTCGCTTCCTCTCCGGTGTACCTCCAAGGTTTTGATCCCTAAAATTTAGGTATTCCGGTGAGACAATTGAAACATACATGATAATAAATAAATGGTCACGTTATTAGTTAATGTATGTAACAATATTACATGTGAAAAGTAATTCCGAACAAAATGAATAAATGTTATATATACTTACTGCAGCACAATAGTGAACCACTTTCGCTTCCTCAAGCTCAATGTTTTCGGGATGACGCCATAACATGGCTAAAACAAGGTTGTAAATTGGTGGGATAGGCTGGTAGACGTCCTTAAAGTACATGTTCAAAAAGTCCTGCATTTGTATCACAATTTCACATATCAACCAAAGTTTGGTTTAACTAAAAAAAAAAAAAAAAAAAAAAAGGTAATAATGTGAACATGATAGATCGATACGAGTAATATTATTTTAACCTCTAAATAATAAATGTAATGACTAATGAGAATAATTCATTTACCTGTTCAGCAAAGGGAGTAGGCTGGGTGACCTTGAGTTTGTTGAGGAGATCATGGTAAATGGACATTTTGGGCTCAAAAACAAACATGCCAGCATTGAAGTATAGAGCGGGGCCAGCGGGCTTTGGGCCCAACTTATCTTCGGCCCATTGGACCTTATTTGGGCATTGTTGGCAATACCCAATCTTATATTGAGGAGTGTGGCTCCAAGTCTTTTCACAAAAGCAGTCCATCACAGCGTAAAAATTGCCATCGGGTAAGTCAAAGAGATGGTCAATGTTATCAAACACTTGGATATCACCATCCAAGTAGATCATCTTGCTAAACTCCACAAACTGTCATTTTTAAAAGAAAAATACAAATTAAAATGATATCGTGTCTTTTAAAGATGGCAAAAACATCGGAATTATAATATTTTTAAATATATACTATTTTAAAGTCAAAAGGATTAAACTGCGTATGCTTTTTTTGGAAGGAAAATAATAGAATCGTATAATTTTTTGTCCGTAATAAGCTTATAAATATATACCTTTTTATATATATCATGATGAAATGACTTTTTTTTACTCTTTCATAGATGTAGGAGCCACAACTCAATTTACGAATTTGTTCTTTAATATATTTCAAAAAATAAAGTTTTTAATTGAGAATAAATGATAGATTCCGATAGAAAAAATTCCAGTTAAGGAATTAATTTAAAATTGATCCTAATAATCGTAAAAGTTGTATATATGTTGTGCAACTACATTTTTTTTAACCATCTCAATCTTTCTTTGTAGCTTAATTTAATAATACCAAGATTACCAATTACCAATGTAGGTTATTAATAGTTTTCACGCATATACAAAGTAGTAATTTTATAATCATTTATGCAAATAGCATACTTGACCAAAAGAGACATGTATGTACGTATGGAAAAAATAATTAAGCAAGAAGGGCAATTGTGGAAAAAAAAAACTAATTTAAATATAAATTAAAAAATAGGCAATTAAAGTAACATAATATACCTCCCAAATTCTGAGCTTGGAGTAGTTGATGACATAGTAAGCCATAGCAAACTGAGTCTGGTTTTCAGGAGGACAAACTGGCTCAATTTCACGAACTATGCAACCTTGAGACACCAATATGTTACGGTGTTCCTCCGGAACGTCGGGCAAAACCGCCACCACCAAGGGATAACGACTCTTGGCTTTCCTTAAGCCCTTGGCAAGCCCTACAACTCCCTTGACATAGTCACCGTTACCGGCTAAAAATGTCACAAAAGCTCTCATTTGGGTGTTATCTTCACCGTTCATCATCATCATGGTTTCGAGGTTATTCATCAATTTGGAACCCATTTACTTTGAAGAATTTAAGAATGATTTGTGGTTTAAATATGTGTTTATTTGTGTTGTTCTTTGGAAAGATATGTGTTTTGAATATATTGTGTAATGTTTTTGCATGGTTAAGAACAGAAAAAAGGACTAGTTTATATAGAAATTTGAAGGGGTGGAAATGTAAGTTCACTCTACATTAACTTTCCACGTGTCCTTATCTATTTTATTTTGTTTAGATTCACACTCAAATAGTCAAATACACAAATTCAATACACTGAAATTTGTTTACTTATCCCTCTACGCGAATTGAATATAAATATTATGTTTATTGTTGAAGATAATCACTATTTTATATCGTTATCTGTCATTATGACCAATTTAATTTTATCATATTAATCATGTACGTGATATAAGTAACATGTTTTTATTAAGATTAGAAAAATCTAATCAAATTCTACTTTTCCTTCACGTAAATTGACAATATTTATTACGTTACATTATGTCAATATTTATAATTATAATTAATTAAAACTCGTCATCCAAATATCCACGTAGTAACATGTTTTTTTTTAAAAAATCAAATCAAATTCATTACACTACAATTTACTTATCCTTACTGCCCTACCCTTTTGAAAAAAAATCAAGTTGTTTGAAATAACGACTATATGTTATGTTGTTATCTATAATTATTATCAATTAAAATTTCTCATAAAGTCATGTAAATCACATATGTACATAACCACGTAACATGTATAAGTAATATTTTTTATATTGTTATTAGTCATCAAGTAAAATTCACATGTAATATATTTCTGTTTCTCGATATGTTACAATAAACAGTATAACATAAAAGTATATACATATATATTCACATCAGTATGTTACCCTTGTCGTCTTTGATGATTGTTGAGGTAGTATATATTTACATGTGTATGTTACCCTTGTCGTTTTTGATGATTGTTGAGATACTTTTATGGTCTTAAAATTGCACCATAGTCCATACATACACACTTGAGTTTTCATGATAATCCACTACATTTACTCTTAAAACTTTCTAACAACTCTAACCCAAATCTCCATCTTAAAATTGCACCATAGTCCATACATACACACTTGAGTTTTCATGATAATCCACTACATTTACTCTAATCTTTCTAACAACTCTAACCCAAATCTCCACTAATCTTAGAAGGAAAAATACGAAAGTTAAAAATGACGAGTTGACGGACGTGAAACTTCAAATTCAATTAGTTGTAGAACCATCAATAAATTATTATCATATCAATCCAACAATTTTGTTCAATGCAAATTCTTACAATAAAGTTGGGGGAGGGAAAAGTTTGAATATTTAACTAGTTTTAAAAGCGTGCGATGCACGATTGTTTAATGTTGTATAATAATTGTTTTTGTATTTGTATTTTGCTTAATATTTCAATTTCATATAAGAATAATATTCCGTAATGTTTAATGTTTTATAATAATTGTTTTTGTATTTGTATATTTGCTTAGTATTTCAATTTCATATAAGAATAGTATTCCGTAAAAAATATTTTAATAGTAGTGTTAAATAAGAACTCCATATTTTAAAAGAACTAATAAAAAAAAAGTATTTTAAAAGTAAAACATAGTTAAAAGTCTATCAAAACTTTTACTAAAAAATAAATAAAATAAAAAAAAACCGTATGTCATACTGTGAAAAACTGCATCTTATAGCCGTTTAGTCGAACTTGCAAATTTTATTTTTTCAATATTAATATTCTTTAACTTTCTCTAATTATTAGTATTCTATAATATGCATTGCATATATGTAAGGTTTCTTTAACTTTCTTTTTCTTCTGCCATATGCAATATTGTGACTTATAAGGGCAGATAACTTTTGAGCCTCTAACTATACCATTCTTCTGCCATATATATGCAGTATCAACCATGCATGCAAAAAAAAAAAATAAAAAAAAAAATAAAAAAAATAAAAAATAAAAAAAAAACCATGTATTCCTCGGAACAATATACATAAGAGGGCTACAAATTAAAATTTTCAAGTTATTATTAAAATTGCATTATACACCAAATTGAAGAAATAGGCTCACCTAAACATAATTTACAACCCGCTTTAATCTTTGCTTTCACTGTTAACCCACAATCACCTTTGTGCATATTAAAAATAACAATTTTGTTAAATTTGAAAAACAAATTGATCATACATAATAACATAAATGAAACTTAAAATATGAATACATATATAGTGGAATGAAAAGTAGAAAGGAACTTACTATTTTCAATAGGGTGATGGGTCTATGAATAATTAACTTCTCTTAAAAAACACTAATCTTTCATAAAAAATGATTTAAGAAAAAAAAAAAAAACTAATTTTGTTTAGCATCCTGTATTTACATTTTTAAAACAAATTGAAGTGACACCTTTGTAAGTTAGGGAACAATTTTTCACACAATTATATACTAATATTTTAAAACGGGAAATTTAAAGGACTCTTGTCCTCTTCCTGCGTTTATAATTTTTGCTTTATTTTTTATTTTCTCTTTTGTTTCAACTAAAGTGTAAAAAAAAATATACAAAATAAAAGAATAAAATAAAAATAAAAACTCCTAAACGATTCAATCCCCTCAAAAAAAAAATATCAATTTTCATTTGTGTCTCTTGGGTTTCACTAAATTGCATTATATATATATAAATTTTCAATCACACTAAAAAATTAATAATAGTTTATCTTCCCCCTATCTAACTTTTTACGCTTTCTCTATTTACCCTAACTCTACCATTTTTCTCTTTTATCATAAATCTATAATTTATATTAAGTAATTAAAAAAATTATTGCCAAGATGTATGCAAACTTCAAAAATGATAGCGGCATTGAATTTAAAGGAGCAATCAGACGTATGTTTTCTCAACTTTATTTATCATTCGTTTTTTTATTCAAATTTCTTTTCACTTTTTGTTGCTTTGGTATTTATCATTTTTTAACAACTTGCGCTTTAGAATTTTGTCTAGGTATTTATAAAACTTTGTATTTTTTTTTCCTTTTTCAATGTTCAAAGATAATTGTTTCTATGAATTTTAATATTTTTAAATTTTATCATGTGTCACTTTTTTTTAAGTTCGATTTTTATTAAGTTTATGTAGGATTTATTTTCAATTTTTTTTTTGAAATTTGTTTTTGAATTTTTGGGTTATTGGTGTTTAATCGTTTTTGTAAGAACAATTGTGTATCAATATTTTGTTTGGATTTCTTTAAAAGATTTGCACAATTAATTTTCTTTTACAATGTTTAAAGATGGAGTTTTTATAATTCTAATTTCAATATTTTTTATTTTGTTATATCTTTCCTTTTCATTTTTTAAGATCTCATTTTAAATTTATTTATTTTTTACTTCATTTTTGTCCATGATTTTCGTTTATTGTGTTTTTAGTACTGTTTTTGTAAATTTGAACCAGATTTGCAAAACAATTTTTTTATTTGATCTAATTTTAATTACGTCTTTAAATTGTTATTTCCACTTATTGCTAACATGATGTTTTTCATGTGGCAGAGTAGTTATTTGTATTATTTCCTTGATGCTACATTGTACTTTCATTATATAATAAAATTACGAGTACCTATCTCTAATGTTCAAAATGTTCGGTTACACATAAGCTAGACTCTATATTGAGTTTTTTTTTTTTTTTTGTAAAATCTTTTTCTAAATTTTACATTCTACTCCACTATATATTTTCTCTTTAATAATCGATTTTGATTTTCTTTTCTATTTTCAGTTTCTATTTCTTTTAAGTAATATTGATTTGATTTATTTGGTGATTTTATGTGTTTGTAGGTGAAAAATTCAATATTCAACAAAGGAACAATATATTTGGATGGAAACTACAATATCTCAATTTTGTGAAGAGACAATTGGAAGCATTTAATAAGAATTTCATATGATTAGTTTTGTACAAATAATTTTATTTTCACTGTACTCTCATACTGTTTCTTTTTTGAAAGAATAGTGTTTTTTGATATTAACTAAAATAACATAAATAATAAAAATCTTAATCAGAAGTATTAGTGTTTGATTAATGTTTAATGATTTTATTATAAATTATTTTGTATTTAACAATTTATCATTTAATGCATCCATATGTAGGTAGGCTAGCTAATGTTTTCCTTCACATGTACGTTGGGTTTGGATTAAACTTGTATGTATTAGTAGATGGTTTTTTTGCTTGATGCAATTTGTATTTCTTACATATGATATGATGTAATTTTTTTTTTGGCTTAGAATATATTGCATTACATTTACGTAGTATTTTATGTTACTAAAAAAATACAATATAATTTATATTTACATACTTCGTATGTTTTGATTCTAAAAAAATCGAAGAACAATTTAAACACATAATAGTAAAATTCTTTAATTGAAAAACATATACTTTCTGTTTAGCCAACAAGATTAACCTGTGCATCGCACGAGCTAAATACTAGTTTTTTTAAATAACAGTTAAACTTAAATCTACATTAGATTTTTTTTTTTTTTTTTTTTTTTTTTTTTTGTAAAGGCATGATCAATTTTCTTGTATAAAGTTAGTTTGAAAATTAAGGTATTTGTAAAGGCATGATTAATTTTCATGTATAAAGTTAGTTTGAAAAGTAAGGTATTTGTAAAGTCATGAGATTAATTTTTTTTTTGTTAAATATTTTTTCTAATCAGAATAAACTGGAAGTGGACACGTGTCCTTCAAACTTCCTGTTTTAAAATAATAGTATAGATATGAAGTGTGTGCGGGTTAGGGATAGAAGAGCAACACACAATCAGGGATTTGAGACTTTAAGGGTAATAAATGAAATTTGATTGAACCTAAAGAGTATTAGTTGCATTTTAAAACCTAATTATCATAACTCGTGAGTTAGATATTTCGTGTAAAACCACAAAATAGTTTAAGGAAAATGATATACACAATACTTAGGACTACATGTAGAATGAAGCTAAAACTTGAAAAAAAATATGTGAAATGTAACATTATTCATTATACCTATATGTATAATTTTATCATGCATTTTTAAATAAAATACACATGTATAGCCCTAACAGTTACATATATCATTACTTTTATTTTAATTGTATATATGTTGATTTGGCTCGAATTT